ATTGCTAGAGATATTCAGAATCCTTTGTTTATATCACACGGGTACCTATTCAGAATATGCAAGATTCCAGGCACAGATGGAATCCAACTTCCATGCAAAAACGGGAATTGAAATATATTAAAAATTAAATTGGTAGTTATTGAGAAGTTAATGGTATTTCCCCAGATGGATTGGCAAAAATCCCATTTAAACTGTGGCTCAGTCACAGCCTTTATAGGAGAAGTAAGAGGATTCATTTTAATTGAATTTTATTAGCAGCTATAGGTTACATTACAGATCTTCACTCAATGAATACCCCCCAAAAAATTAAATGTCCAATTTTTTCTGAAGCACATGAGTCATGGCATATTTTTTGTGGAGGTTAATACCTTCAGACCCTAATGTTTCTAAGTGTACCACTATCCGCTGGAGGAAGGAGGGGTCATGAGGTTCATGAGTTCAATGTGGTTCAAGTCAAACCTTCACAGAGCTGGGTTTAAATTTTGGGTCACCAGTTAATCTGATAAAGTACATTCTATCAACTCTATTGGACACTAGTATACATGGAACAACATAACTGCCAACCTGAGAAACCCATATCTGTTGTCAGGAGGAGAGACAGTTTTATGTTATCTCTGTGGACAGACATGACTTTTACCTAAGCTTCGATCTTTGTCAACTTAAACAAATTATTAAACAAATTTTGTATCATATAACATCACAAAATGAAGCAGTACCATATTTTTAACTGTCCACCACAAACAGGAGAAAGTACCAGATTCTGGCACAATATGGTAAAGTAAAATTTTTCAGATTAATATTGAATTAAATAAGAACAATGCAAGACATTCATAACATTATTAAATGCAAGTACAGTATGATGACAAAAGCTCCTGATTAGTAAGACTGTAAAAGCTTGCAGACCTCTAGATGACTGCATTTCTTCCTCTTCTCCAGTTAGATCCTCCTCTGAAAAATACAGATTAACCACATCTGTTAGTTCATCAATGAGAATCTAAAGAAACAGCACCCAATGCCATAAATCCAGTACATGTTCTGTTTGTTTCACCTGTTTTACTGTCAAAATATGCAGTACTTTCATTCCAGTCCCTCTGTTGGAAAATGGAATAATGTAGTTATTGTAGCCAATGTAGTTAAAGTAGTTCAACAGTAGATTAGATTGTGTAGGCTAGTTTTCAGTCAAAGCTAATTTGTGTCAACAATGACAATTATTTTTTAAAAGATTACAGAGAAATAGAGGGGACTGGAGTGTTAACCCAAACTAAACCATAAGCATTTCAGTGAAATCCCACAATTCGACCGTATCCTATACGTAAACCCTAAAATTATGTAAAAATACCAGCTAGAACTTTAAGAAATCTTTGCTCACCTTTAAAGAGTTGATTTTCATAACTGTGTTGTCTTTCTGGTGGAAACAAAGACACTATGTTAATAAAGATGTTTTCACTGACTTCAAAATACTTCAGCATTAAGTAAGCGTTTGTAACAGGTCTCAGTGCGCTGAGTGAGTTACAGAAGTGACATCACCCCTCTCTGGAACCTAAACAGAGTAGAACTCTGCCACAGTAGAGGGCCCAGTCTTGTGACAGAGTGGAATTCTGTGCTGTCTATAGAGCAGTGCTGTGTGGCTCTGGGCCTGCCAGAGATTGTGACTGAATCCTGGCAGAGAAGGTGTAGAGTTTAATTGGATTTAATTAGCCCCAAAGGGAATTTGCCTTGCTCATAAAGATATAGCAAGTACAATAATAATACAATACAAAAACAGTACAATACCAAGATACATAATAACATTTAACAAGATTGCTCAATCAGAACCATAAGATTAAAAAACGGACAGTTAGCTTGTAAAGAGTCTGAAAACAACCACGATATAAAAAACGAGATCCCTATCTGCAAACAAACTTTTCATTGTTCAACAACTGAATGTTTTTAGGTATGAAGGAAGTAAAGTTAGTCTTTATACAGGAGATCTGTGGTCTGGGAGGTACCTCCTTTCAGAAGATAGGAGAGTATATTCTAAAAAGAGTAGATGAGAGGAGTCATCTAAAATTTGATGACCAAGCAGCATGCTGTGGTGTAGAATTCTCCCATGGGTGAATACCTAGTCTTTTCATGAGGTGGATTTGTCAGCTGTCTAAAGGAACTTTGAATGCTTGGAACCCACAAGTGACGAAATCAGTTCCCAACAAGGGCAGGGAGAACTGCACTCATCATACATTGATTGGCAGTAAATAAATTTGTTTACTGAAATACTAGAAATGTTATTAATTAAATGGGCCAAAATCCAAGCTATGTTTACAGAAATGTGAGTCAGATGTGCTGATAGGCCTTCTCTCTTTTGTAACTTTTCTCATGTGCTTGTGTTTGATTATCCAAAACACTATTCAACACAGGAAGGATGACTCTTAAGATATAAAATATTTTTGTAGGCACAGGATAAAAAAAATAAATTGGATTACAAATTCAGTGCTCTTTTCTTGCCCTCGTTTTGAACCCAGCCTTTTGCAGGAAAGTTGTGCAATACAGAGAATGTTTTTTATATGTGGTCAGATGAACTTTTCAGTTCTAATCATCAAGTTTTTTTAGAATATTTTTGTGTCGTGTGTAGTATAGGGTGACACAGTGCTTAGTGTTGCTGCTGTGCAGCACTGGGACCCTGGGATCAATTCCTGGGGTGCTATCTTTCTGGACCTTGTATGTTCCCCCATATTTGTGTGGGTTTTCTGCATGTGCTCCGGTTTCCTTCCACAGTCCACAAACATACTGGTAGAATAATTGGCCCTAGGTGTGAGTGTGTGTGTCTACCCTGTAATGGACTGGAGTTCCATGCAGGGTGTATCTTGCCTTGCACCCATTGCTTGCTGGGATAGGCTCTGGTTCTCCCCCGAGCCTGAATTGGAGGCAGAGGTTAGAAAATGCAAGGATGGATTTAGTATGTATGCACAGGTTGGTTACTGCTTGGACATCATTGTGAAGATTCATATCAAGGGTATCGAACTACATAATTGGCCCAAACATGTACTGTACAGACCAGATGCCTTGACAACTTTGCAGGCTTCAGTTGCTCTAGGAATTGCCCAAGTCACTGACATTGTCTTTGAAAAGACAGACTGTAAAGAACACAGATAAGGAATGAAAGGTACTGTAGGAAGGAACAGAGATAAGGAAGGAAAGGTACTGTAGCTCAAAACAGAGTTACAGACATTGATGGATGTCAGACTAAATGTAGAGAAAGGAGCTGTGTTTTTCATATTTGTGGAATTTGTTTTTAAATAATTTCTCCAGATAGAGACCATCATTTATTCACTTTGGATGTATTTCTATTGATGAATAAAGGTTGTCTTCTGTTCACCATACATCTTGGGGGCAAACACACCTTTTAAGGATTAGTTCTTTTATGAAAGCCATCTTTTTACATGTATGTCCTATTCCAAGTGCATTCGAGTCCTCAATGGTATGTATCTAGTGGGAAAGACCCTAGTTGGATGTAACAGTGTCCAGTAGCTCATAGGTTTCATATCTTATATATATATATGTTAAGGGAAAATCCAGTGGAATAGAATGGCTGTAAAGTTGCTGCTCACTCGATCCAGTTTCTGTGTTTATTTCTTCTGTTGTTTTTAAGACATGGGCTGGAGTGGACTGGCACGCTGTCCAGGCAGTATCCTGCCTCCTGCCTGTTTTTGCCAGGCTGAGCTGCACCTGCAGAGCAGATTAGGAACTGGATGGAGGGAATTCTGCCACATTCTTTTACCATTATTTCAATGCTTGTTTAATTTACTTCTCAAGAAAGAATAATAAAAAAACAACAGATAAGAATGTAGCACTAAGAAAATTAATTCACAGACTAAAAATGAAAAAGGAAAGAGAAAAAGAGAGGCTCATTTAATCAGCCGTGAAGAGAAGAGAAAGTGACTATGCTGATATGATATGATTTTTATGGCTGCAGTGACGAAATCGATTTGCCTCTATTGTTCCATTTTCCAAGTTAACAGTTGAATATATTTTAACAAACTTTTTTATGAGTAAAAATCAGTTTTGTTAAAAAGAGTTTGCCTTATTTTACCCATTTCTATGTTTTATCAGAATATAAAAATGTACAATGTGGCTTTATTATTTTTTAATTGCATCTTGGATGTTACTTTTGAGCCATTTAGAATTCTGAAAACCACCAACCCTCCCACTCCCATTTATTTCTCTGTATTGCTTCCATCACATGTGGTTTTAATTCTGTGCCGTTATTACTAATGCTACTTTCCAATTTATTTTTTGCAGAAAAACAGTATCCAAATCAGAATAAAATGGCATTGCTTTCAATACATATAGATGACTCATGAATTCAGAGTTCATGAATTTATGTCCAAATGGAACCCTTCCTTCTAAATGGAGTCCTTCCCTTCAAAACAAAGTTAAAATGATTCTGATTATGAAAAACAAACAATGTCTTGAAAGCTTAGAAGCCTAAAAATTTGAAACGTGTTCTATCATGATAAAAATGACAGAAGTTATATGTCAAGCCTTGGGGAATAAATACAGGTTTGACTGAAGCCACTCTGAGCATCCTGGTACCCCACTTAAAAGTGACAAAACAGACGTTTTTTATTTTTACACTAAGTCTTCAACATGTTTTTGGAACGGCCCCAAATTCCATTCCCCTCTTTAATTCTTCACTACAGTGCCACCAAGACAGATGGAACACAGTATAAGAACACTCCCTGGAGCCAAGGATGTCTATGAACAAAACAGCATGGCCACGTTGGCAGACTTTCTCTGGATTTAGGACACAAGAAAGGTTACAGACTATAGCAGGCCGTTCCCACCTAGTCATGTGATTGTTAGCAGGTAACTGAACCATGTATCTCATTCCTCTGTTCCTCTGTTTCTTGCAGGAAGCCAGGGTATTGGCTTGAACAGCATAGCAATTTTTTCCACACCCTAACAAGCCTTTAGTTAAGAAGTGCCTTCTTTTCTTGGTTTTAAATGCTGTACCTGTAGATTTTTGAGCAGAGGAGAATCAGACCGCTTACCCTGTTACATTCAGCCCAATTACATGCAGTTCCTCCTTCGCATGTCTGTCTACTCTAAGCTTGAAGCGTGGCCTGGCAGTGAAGAGCACCTCTCATTTGTCAGCTTCTTGTTACGGAATATAAATGAGGACCCTATGCAGAAAAATCAGGACGAACTTCAGAGGCGTAGTCAATTAAACAGTCCGAGGTTGGAAAGCGGAAGGAAAACAAACCGATGCAAAAGTACAAAATCAGAAGCGGAGCCAGAACAATAATCAAAGTACCAAAACAAAACCAGGAGACGTAGTCGGAGAACAAACCAGGGTCAGGAAGCCAAAAACCAAGACGTAACTAATGGCAGGAAGATGGGGTAGCTCTAACCTGGAAAACCTAATACTGAGCACAGGTGAGAGTGTGAAGCAGCATTAAATAAGCTAGTGTAAAAGGCTAATGTGAACCGTGCGGGAATGTGAGGTGGGATGCCGAGTCCTCCAGGGGCGTGGTGTAACACTTCTATGCTCTGGAGAGTGGCTTACATTGAATCCCATTTAGAACTGTCATCTAGGAAGTACCTTATTTAGTTTTTTGACTCTAACTATTTCACTTCAACTTGCATTTTAGGACACTTATATTCAACTTGAACATATGCAATAACACTGTCATCTAACACAGGAGAAAGCAGTACTGTAACTACCATTTCATTCCTTTCATCTATGTCTTAGCTCAAGCTCTTCTGCAGTTATTGTGTATATACAGCGCCACCAGAAAATCTACACACACATTCCAATGTTTGGCCTAACAGCCTGAAATCAAGGCACATTAAGTCAGAACTTACTTTACTTTTATCGACACATTGTAAAACAGAACCTGCAAGGGGAAATGCTCAGACATTCGTAAAAAGTACTTATAAATAAAAACCTAGAAAAATGGGTTGGGTATATGGTTTTTACAATTCTTATGGCTTTGATAGTCTGACCTCTTGTCCAGAATTCCGGAAGACCAATGCCTCAGCATGGTGAGTGGGGACGCTGCACTGGAGTTGGTATTGTCCTTCAGATTACAATTTAAAACAACATTCTGACTATCTGGTCATCAAAAATCTCTTGACACATTTTGTAAGAGTAGAGGTGTTAATCTCAGTGTCAAAGGCTAAATTCCCCTCTATGCTACTTTACACAATCTGACCTATCTAAATCTCCCACTTTATTCAACAATTGAAATAATCTTTCACTTCTATACCTGATCTACTTTGTGGTGGGACAGCAGTTCCCTAAAGCTGAAATAAATTAAGTTATCATTATCATCACAGAGCATGCATGAGATTCACACTGTGATAAGTTAAAGTCTAATATGTGTGGTAAGTATTTACTGTATATAAAATGAAAATAAAACTTTTTTA